CTCTTTCCCTTTTATATAATGCAACATGTACTCTGCTGCCTGACAGTACACAGACAGGAAAGCAAGTCTTCTGGAGAAATGCCACATTAGAGGAGTTAATATCTATAGGAAATGTACAGAGAGTGCCACTTCCCAGGAATGTTTCCTAACACTGCAGCACTGTCTAGTCTATGCATGTTGTAGCTCACTATGGAGAGTCATGATGAGGGAAATCAAACCCATAATTCCTGGTGCAGCATGTGTAAAATACAGTTTTGCGCACTCGTCTCTGCTCCTCTGTGCACACACGCACATGCACACAGCGCAGCTAGTCAAGGGAGAAATCAAAATGGCTGCCAGTGAGGAACTGCGTGAGAGTGGAAATGGCTCTGATCTCACACTAGTGCAGCACCAGTAAAATACAATCTTGTTTAGAGGGAGGACAGGACTGTTTGGCATGGTACCTTCCCTCTGAGAAGCATGGAAAGAACAGGCTTGAGAAATTGCTCTTTTCCTCCTACCTGCCACGTCAGAGTTTTTGAGTGCCCCTCTCTAGACTCAATAGTACAGGCGGGGGGAATGAGAATCAATTTTTGTCAGAGGTTGTGTCTTAAAGACAAACAGGCGATGTTTTTCCTTGAACTACTGCCCCCAGTGCCTCTCCCCAGCACTAAAGCAGAATGTTAAGAATAGAGAGGTTGCTTGGTGTCCTGTGACAAGGTGTGCGCTCAGTCCTACAAGGCACTGTAGGGCAAGAGGTGTTGCCCAAGAGAAGTCTGCAGAGTGAGGACAACAGGGGGGAGCCCAGTGAATTCTCTCTCTTCCCACTGACCCAGCTGAGGGACTGCTCTCATCAAAGTACCAAGCAATGGAGGCTTACTGGCTTTTTAGGGTCATCCACCTTCCGGACTGATAGGTTCTCCAGGGGGACAATGCCTAAAGGCTCTTTGTCCTGAAAACAAGAAACTCGAATTAACACCCAACACACTCCCCACCCGTATGTAATGATTTACAGCCACTCTGTTTTTCCAGGCACATGTGCCTGAGGAACATGTACCACTGATTGTTACAGTGGGGACTAATAATAAATCACAACAAAAGCTTCCGTGTCAGCTTCCATCATGGTCAGGACTGGAGCTGACTTGAAAGAGAAATGAGGGCTGAACTCAGTCTGGGAATGCAGGGTTGAAAGGAAGAATTATCCCATACCCTCCGCACCTCCCAATCCTCTCAGAAGTTTATAACCACTCAGGATGCAGTTTCTCAGCCTGGACTTAAGCCCTTACCGTGGTATATTCGAAGTAGTACAGGCAGTTATCGGTCAGAATGAACCAACGGCGTTTCCAGGTTTTCACACGTCCTCCTAAAGGCAGTGCGGTTCAAAAACCATTAGTCCCACACTCTTGCCATCCTTCTCCCACAAATTCACACACTCTCTCCATCCTCCCACTAGATCAGCCCCGAGGAGACCATTGCAGTGCCTACTACATGGGATGCCAGTTGTTGGACACACACAGAATTAGTCAGTCGTGCTGTGGATGGGGAGATGGGAGGGAGGTCTTTCTGGGTCCCTTTGCTAGCAAACAGAGTGTACAGGAGCCGGACTGGCGGGAAAGAGCAAGTGTTTGGTTTCAACAGCAGGTGTCAGCCTCATTCCATTGCAGCCAACGGGAAGGAAGAAGGTGGGAATGCTGCTGTCTGAATGGGTTTGGGATTTCTTAGGGAAGATTTGTGATAGGAGGCAGTGCCGATGAGGGTGGGGGAGCTGCCAAGGGAGCATACAGGGAGGGAATTCAGATGAGTTATAAGAATCCCTCCACTTACCTAGTTTCAGGAGCCAGCCCTCGCGGCTAGGGTTGAAGAAGGTATGTGTGAGATCATTCCCATCATCTTCTGGTATGGAGAATGGCTCATTCTTTATGCTCTCAAACAGACTCTACCCCGAAGTGTTTTTAGGTAAGAGGGAGGGGAGGGAGAGAAAGAGAAAAGAAGATACATTTCTGACAAAGCTTATACACAACCTGCATGCCTGCAACCATACAGTTCCTTCCCCCCCCGCCTTTTTTTTTCCCCTTCGCATTCTTTCTTGAAACAATCACATTTCAGAAACCCACAGGCACAGAAGTGCATGTCCACTTCAAGACCTGATGCAGTACCTGACCCTAGCACACAAGTGCCACTGTGGGTGCCCCCTACGGAAGTGGGCAAGGGAGGAAGAAGGTGACAGTGACTGCAGACCTGTCTTTGGGCTCTGAGTGCCATGCAGTAATCAAGTGCTCTGTTGAGAACATGCCTGCACACACTCACACACAGATCCACATGGCCTCAAGGACATGCATTTCACAGAATGTAGACATTTCCACAGAGGGACACAATGTGTGAAATTCATAACAGGAGAGTGGCAGCAAGGCAAGTTAGTAGCTTTAAAGTGACACAGAGATGACACTTGCATAATTTGCATTTGCTATTATTTACTGCACAACCTCCAAGTCATGAATAAAATTAAGAATACAGGCACTTGCAAATTCCCTTAAACTGCCTAAGAGAAATAACACACTAGAGAAAAATCTAAAGCCTTTTACCTGAGGGGATGCTGTTCAACAAACTCAAGTGTGGGGTGCTAGCAGCCTCCTTGACACAAGGCACAAGTTATTGCTTGCAGGCTCATTGGGTGAGGCTAAGTACAGTCAGGGAGGTTGCCCACTTCTACCTTACCTCAGAAGTCAGGCACTCTGACTGCTAAGCCCTTGAGAAAATGGTTATTCCGGGTCTGTTAACAACTGCTGGTCCTGCCTCTGTCTCCCCTTCTGTATCTTTATCTTTTGATATCGAATACACCATGGACCTGGTGAGAGCTTTATAGGTGCTGGAAGAGACCCTGATATTCTTTTGGGGCTCACTGGTTCTGATCCCATGGACATATGTCCTGGTATAAGAGAGACAGTCCCTGACCCAAAGGCTAGGACTTTCAAAGATGCCCAGAAATGCCAGGTGCCCAGCTACCCCAAATATACACAGCTGCCCATTCACACAAACATGCTGGAGAAAAATCATTCAGAGATGGGGCTCCAGGATGCTAGTCTCTCTTTAAAACTCACAGCAGTCACTGACTAGTGTGTAAACCCGCCTCATACCTACACAACACCACCAGACACCCACAGCCTAGCCCTCAGCCTTCTCCCAGACAGGTTTTGTTGCACTCTCTACCCTGCTCACAGACTGCTTTGACAGGTTGGCTTTACATTATCCCCACAGGATATCTGTCTGGCTTTGTGTCTCTTATCTTTTTCATTATTGTCATTGATTTATTTTTAATCTTAAGTTTGCTTAAACCCACGCTGCCATTCCCTGCATGTCTGTCTCCAGGCCTATCCCTCCCACTGCCTGTCTTCACCTATTTATGTGTTGTCCCTATCCAAAGCAATTTCTATGTCTTCCAGCTCAACTTTAGCACATACTGCCCTCTTTTTTGGAGCAGCCCTTCCCCTTTCATGGGAGGCAACTGTATTGCACTGGGAATGATGGACTTTTGGCCATCAGTGGCTCCCAAGCCATAGAGGAGAGAGGAGCTGATGAGAAAATGGGAAGTCAGAGCCCTTCTTACCCTTAAGAGCTCTTCTGGCAGGTCTCCTCCTTCAGCAATACCTCGGTTGATGGATACAAACCTCTCAAAGGGGGGTTTGTCTTTCACGTTGGGGTTGTGCAAGCTGGTGTTAAGCATGATGATGGAGAAGGAAAGTATATAGCAGGTATCTGGCAAGGATGAAAAGAACCAGTATGGGTGGAGTGTTGCTTTAGTGAGCAAGTCTATCCAGAGCCTAATAGATGGCATGGGTTTCAGTCACAGAACAGTCTCTCCCTCTCAGCTATAGGAGGCAATGGGAGTTATCCCCTTTGCTAGGAGTAAGAGAGACAGACAGGGCTAGATGAGATTTGTTCTACTATGACAGAGGCTCTTCTTTGATGAGGCAAGCTGGATAACTCTGGTCATATAATGAGTGGCCAGCAGATGTATTTCTGTGAGTTGGCATGTGTCTGTGCTAGTGCTGACAGGGTTTTGTACCCCACTATGATGAGGTACACGTGGCTTGCATTACCTTTTGTGGTAGGTTGGAACATAATAACAAAAGAAGGATTGGAGACCCTCAGCCTATTGAAAAACTTCATAGAAAATGCACTAAATCCTTTGACTTAAGAGAATACAAAGAGCAACCTCCACATTCCCAAGTGGTGCCTTATGTTTTTTTATGTCTGGGAAAAGAAGGCTCCTCTCCCCAGCAAACAGTGGAGTTCAGCTTCACAGGACTTTTTCTCCTTATAATTACCTGTGGATTGGAATACTCCTGGGTTACACTTGCAGTACCAGTTGGCAAATGCCTCCATCATTCGGTCAATCTTCTGAGCTTCTCCAGGCAGCCGGAAGCTCCACAGGAATTGTCTGTTGGGAATGTCATTCCAGAGACCTATTCAGACTGTGCCCAAGAGCCATTTATCCTTTCGCTCTGTCCCTAGCCCCTAGGACACCATGAAAACAAGAGGAGTCATCCCACCTCAGAGGGAAGACAATGCAGTGTGCTTGTATGAAGCAGGAGCTCAGCTCCTCTCTCTCTGGAAATTACCTGCACTCAAACATCAGCTATAGGAGGTAACAGAAGTAAAAAAAATGGGACAAACCATCACTTCCTAATGAGTGCCCAGCAAGGTGCTCTGCTAGGAATCAGTGACCTCAAGAGAAAGAGCTAGGAGGCTGCCCTAGAGAATGGTTTGTCCTAAGACATAGTCACATTGTCCTAATGAGTGCCCAGCAAGGTGCTCTGCAAGGAATCAGCGACCTCAAGAGAAAGAGTCTTGCTAGGAGGCTGCCCTAGAGAATGATTTGTCCTAAGACATAGTCACATTGTTATATGACAAACCCAGTCAACAGGCCACAAAGAAGACTCACCAGGGAAACATGTCAACATACCTCACAGATCAGGGGGAAGCCCAGGTCTCACAACCTTTCCCGTGGCCTAAGTGGCTTAACAAGACTCTGTTCTACCTAATCCTTCCTGCATTTGCACACTCACCTCAGTGCCTGGACCAGGTTGAGGTTGGCAAACTGGTGACACGCCACAAAGGCTTGGAGGATCTGAATGTTTGTGGGATCCCTGAAAAGAACACGAAGGAAAGGTGAGAGAGGAGTTTTTGACTTGCTAAGTGTAGATGTCACTTGGCAAGGTGACATGCACTTGGCTCTATCCTGGCCCCTCCTTTGCCTCTGCCCCACAAGAAGCCACGCCACATGAGTACTATTCTTCAGCTATAGCCACACTCACAGGGATGATCTTGATGCATGTGGCCACATATTACACTGCAGTTTGAGACCACATTCAATTTTGGCACCTGACTACTCATCTAAAATGGTGACTGAGAGGGGACAGGCAGGACAGAGCTTTGAAAGGACCTCTCAGCTTGCCTGGATTGCTCACCTCCCACCCAGATAATCCCCAATAGCTGTCTTGTTCAGGCCTTCACCCTTATGGAGGAATTTGGCGATATCCTCAAGGTTTGAAGATAACAGTTGGTGTTCTATGAGGTACTGGATCCCCTGTGGGAAGAAAAGTAAGACAGCAAAAAGTAAGACAGTTCTGGAGCTAGAAAAAAGAAAGATCCTAACATCCTGGCCTTCCTTGACTTTGATAGTGTTGTGTCCTCTGTTACTCCCCAGTCCCTCCATGGGATCACACAACTACACTCCCATCTTGCTCTGTCCTTTGTCATCTATCTGCTATGAGTCAGTCCTACTCCCAGTTTGTCTCTACACTTGTATAAACATGTTTCACTGGCCTGGAAAATCAAACAAAAAGCTCTGTGTAGGTTAAAACACACACACACACACAGATTTAAAGCAAAGTCAAAACAACATTTTGACTACACAAACATTTCATTTTCTATGAACATTTTTAATCAAAAAGTTTGTTTTATTCCCAGATGTCATTTTTTTCCAGATTGTTTTGATTTAAAGAAAAAAAGTTAATTAGAAAATAAAATGATACAATAAAAAAGGTATTCAAACAAGAAACTGGCTTGAGAATTTATTTTGTCCCCAAAACTTCCCTTTAAGCCATGCAACAAAAAAGTCTGCATTGTGTTCAACTCTATATTCCCCACCAAGTAAGGACACCTTTCAAGGATTACAGAAAATCTGAGTTGCGTTGCGCAAACAATCAGCATTCTATTTTAGAGAGAATTCCTGCATTTTCAAACTCAAGGAAAGCTGAAGCTTCATTCAGATTCATAACAATATTTAAAATTACTGCAGATATCCAGACCATGGTGCAATTATCCACACAAAATGCAATGAAAGAATGAAAATTGTATTAGATCCATCAGAATGTTCTACTTCACTGAATCAATTCACTTTACTATGTAAGATATATATATATATAAATTTCTAAAATGCCCCAAAGAAAAGCAGTTTCAAGAGAAGAAATTGAAATGTTTTGTAGATTTTTCTCACAGTATTTTTCTTTATTTTTCCACAGATGGAATTTCAGAAAGATCAATTTAATTTTGCAGAACATTGCAGTGCTGATGCACTCTGTTTTCCAGAAAAATGTGTTTCTCCCAAAAGATTTGTTCAGCATTATTCCTAATTCTTACCTTCCCTCACCTCAGGAATTTGCCCTGTGGTCTTGTGGATAATAGCTCATTTAAAGTAACAGAATTACAGGGATGAAATGTATCTTTAATAGAAAGGGACAAATAAAGCTCCTTGTATCATAACACCAGGCAAGTACTGCAAAGTGAGCCAAGAAACAGAGAGATCTGACTAGGTTTACTCTAAACTAAAAACAATATAGGCACTTAATGTGACATTTCAGGCTGGCAGATGAACATTGAGCTAAATAGCTAGACTTTTTTGGAGTCAGAATTAGTTCAGATATTTCTGCACAGCATTGCACAATGCCACAGAGATTGAGAGAGAGAGAGAGACAACCCTGGGGGTTCAAACCAAGTTCAGACTGAGACAAAAAGGAAGTAAATTCTTATGTGGGCTGAAATACTGATGTGGGTGCTCTAAGAAGGCTACCACTGGCAAAGGGATAGCAGCCAGGGGACTGTCATGCTCTCTACCTGCAATGGCTACCTGCTCCAGGACACTGGGGCAGTCAGCTTGAGGGTCTCAGCAAGGCAGGAGAGGAGGCATAAAAAGTTGTTACAGAGCAGCAGCCTTCAAGACACTAGTTGTGGTTAGCAGATGGTGAACAATGGTTCAGTTTCAGCTTGTGGTTTTCCATGGTTCAGAAAGATGGTCCACCAGTGAGCAGGAAGGAAGAGAAAACTGTTTTTCTTCCTCTACTTAATCATCTCTACTTAATCTTCTCTACTTAATCATGCTGACTTTAGATTCTTCTGCCAAGCAATGAAGGCTATGGAATCTGGAGGCCACTGGTCAGAGTCTGAGGAAGTGGAAAGTCTAGATTCACTCCACAGTCCAAGTGATACCACTTGCCTCCAAAACAACAGCAGCTGTTTGACCTCTTCTTTTGAGGAACGATCTGAGGAACCTAACACACCTCAGACCTCACCTTTTCCTTATCTCATCCTCCTCCATTATTCCATGGGCAGTTCTAAGCGTCACATACACAAGAAGGGCTACGCTGACACATATTTGTTTCTCTTGACACACTGGTGCAGTTAAAACATACTCTCTTTATATCTGCTCAGTTTTGGATTGCATTTGATGGGATGTCCTATGGGCACATGTTGAGGGGAGGCAACAAAGCTCCATCTTGCCAGAAGATCTCATTCAGGTAAAGGAAGGAGGGTGCTATTAACCAGCCTTAGTGAAACGAGCCCCGTGATCCCCTGCTCTAGCTCCTTTGGCATGTGTAGCTGCAAATAGACTAGCAGACAACAGAAGCTCTTCTCCTTAGCTTTCCACTCATAGCTGGAATGAGAAAATCCTACCTTTGCAGGATCCATGTTGAACTTCTTCCGGCCTAGGGACAGAAGTTTATCCTTCTGTGATAATTTGCTGCAGACAAAAAGGAGGAAGAAATCTGAGTAGGAAACTCAGATTTAGACAGGTTTCTTACTGTCCAGGAGTAAAGAGAAATCTGAGGAAAGACAGCATTCCTGGCTTGATTTTCCAGATCTTGATGTGATCCAAGTCTCATTATGCTCTTATCCCATTTGCCTGGTGTATTCCCCAGGGATTAGGTCTACCTCTCACCTCTCCTCTGCATTTTGGAAGCGCTCTATCTCTGCAAACACTTCAGCAATCTCTTCTTTCAGCTTCTGCAGGAGAAAGAGCAGAGACATAAGAGAGATGGAGGAAAAGGCAGGACACACACACAGGGCAGATCTTACTTCTATCCTCAGCTGAGGGAGAAGCCCTGGTGATACAGGTCAGCTAAACTCCTTGCTCTATGGATCAAGGACCAGCTAAAGATTTCTATTAAATGAGTACTATTCTGAAATGACCCTGTCTATCCAAAGTGGGTTCCAGATGAAAGAAATGAGTGAAAGAAGCAAAAAGGAGGTCTCAGACCTATTGCCATCCAGGACTAGAAAGTCATGCTTATTCAGCATGGAAGAGTGAGAGCACTCAGCCCAGTGTTATTTCAGCTCCTCAAAAGATGTCACATCCTTCCATCATACCCATTTTCTTATGGCTTTTGAAACCACTAACTGACAGGCCGAAATGGACTTGAAGTGCTCAAGTTATAAAATGCGGTGTTTTTAACACCCTATAAATCAAATGCCAGTGAGTGGATCTCTGCCTTTAAGTAGTGAAAAAGGGGGAGAAGGAAAAGAAATCACTGCCCGAGTTTGAGTCTTAACTATAGTATTCATCTTCCTTTAAGTCCATGATAACCTGTGGCCCTCCTGGTTGAATTCTCTGGGTTACCAAGATCACTGTGATCTCCTTGTTTCCATCCTGCAGTTCTGAATCCCTGTCTAGGAGCCAGAGTGCATCACAGGTCTTTTCCAGGAATTACTCAATATATATCCCAGATATTACATCCCAGACATTACCTCAACAAGGATTGAGAATGTAGTCACAGTATGTACCTAGATATAGGAACTGTATTCAGGAAATTCTCTGACATTCTACCATTTAAAAGAACAACTGAATCTTGATTTGCTTCCTGCTTTCCTTCTGTCTTGCTTCAGGAGACTGCCAGAACTGGGGATGTTCCTTAGTAAGTTTTGGTAGTGCACAAATGCAACAAAGCCAAGATCATAGCTCCTAAATTACAAATGATTATCATAATTTTGTTATTTTCCTTATTACTGTCCTTTGTCAATTTAATGGGCAAGTTTACACCTATTTTCCTCCCTCTCTCCCTTTCTCCCACTCCTCCATCCCCCAAGCCACCCCTCCTGATCTATATGTTAAAGGATATTGCTAGATGATCTTTGAAGAAATCCACTCTGGCAAAATTTCTGTAGTACTAGATATTCTTTCACCTAAACTCATCCTTCTCCACTGAGCAATGGATCTATGGCTTTCGGGTTTAGGATACGTTTCTGTGTAGTCTAGCATTTTTTCTCTTGCTGCACCAAGTGAAAACAAGTAGTTTTCCTAATCACATATACTGCTTCCTACACTGCCCACTGTTCACGCTGGAAACTGAATAATTAACAATCACAGTCTATTTTGCAAGAATGGATAAGACACCATTATGATTTTGCAGCAAAGATGTTATGTCTGGAAGCCTGAGAAGCAATAGTGATTTGGCTCAATATTTTGTCCTATGCAAGGAAATACTGCACCCATTCACCAGGCATCTGAACATCTCTATGCTGTCAGAATATCACTGTAGGTCCAATGATTCAGTTCAATAAGCTCTTAGTTGGAAGGCCAACATGCTATGGTGATGTAAAGCAATATAAAAACTATACAGTGGCATGCATACATGTCATTTGGTATTACTGGGTGATTCTGTTTCACTTACAGACTTTTGGGGTATCGGTAGAATAAATCCATAGCTCTGCTAAAAGCAAAGAAGAAAACCAAATTCAACCATGGAAACGTGTGTGGATAGTCCTGCCAATGCACCTTTCTAAAGAGACAAGATCCTTCACAGAGGACTTGTTAGAGAACCACAAAGCAAATGAAAGTTTGAAAAAATGTGAGGGATGCAGGAAGTAATTAGGAAAACGTCATTATTGGGTAGTGAATAATTAGGATAATCATAAATGCTGAGCCAGATCTCTTCTAGTATGACTTAGTGAACATTGCTTAATATGGGTTCCTAGCTCATCCCTGCTAATGAGTTGAGAAGCCTTTTATAAATGCCCCATTACTATAGCTGTGACTACTGCAGCAGAGTTCCACAAATTGGATGAGCACTGGTGACACACATCCTGGGGCAGCCTGAACCTCAGAAGTCAAGCTAGATCATGCCAAAACAAATATCACCTGTACAGGACTGTACTGTTAGGTGAAGAGAGTCCATGGCGAAAACATTTTTGAGAAGGCTGAGCAGAGACGGGGAACAAATGGTCCTTACCTTAATGTCCTCTAAAAGCTCCTCTCTGTGCTGCCTTATTGTCTCTATTTCAGCTTCTTCAGCCTCACTCAAGTCAGATGACTCTGGAAGAAAAAAGAGATGCCTTTGAGAATGATACTGAGGCCAGCATATGACAAGCCAAGTTGCCTCGGCATCACCATGCTCATCCTCTCCTTTTCCTAGGATCCTGCCACAGTACCTCTTGTACCCATGTTCCAGCCTCCTCTGCTCTTGCAGCTGTCGCACCTCAAAATTGTCCTGCAAATGATCCTTGGTCTAAAGCCAGCAGCACAGGCCACCATGCCCCTCCTGGCTGACAGCCTCTCTGCTAATAGCCCTCTGATCTAACTCTGCAGCAACCTACCCTGCCTAGTCAACCAAATTCACGCATTGCGACCACAGTGAAGAGGTCTCATCAGATGCTCTTCAGTGGTTTTTATGTCAGTCACCCTTAATACAAGGGTTGTGGCACAGGAAATCGGTGACCTAAATACTCCATCTAAATCTAACCTCCCATGAAGAGCCACTGGCTTAATTTATTGATCTATCGCAGTTAGGGATAGAAATGGCTTATGAGGGATTCAGGATTTTTCAAGTCTGAGATCAAGATCTGGGGGGATGAAAGCATTGCTGAAGAAGGAGTGTCTGTGGGAGGCTGTTGTTCTGCTCTCCTCCCCCACTGTGGACTACAGACAGTACAGAAATACTAGCAGGCTTCCTTGTAATGTGCAGGAAGTCAAACACACAGCAGCCAAGGAGACCACAGAATGATTCATAAAAGACCTTAAAGAATCGGGGTGACAGCACAGCTACTAAATATAATCCAGCGGGAGTGCAGCATCTTCAGCAAGAAGAGAGGAGGCTGCAGCCACAGAAAGGCAAAGCAGATGGTTTGCCCCAGGAAAAATCGGAGGCCAGGAGTATTGGAGCCTCTGGGAGCTCGCTGCAGAACTTACAGTCAGGGTCTTGCTGTACCCAAACACCAAAAGACAAAGCTTCCCCAGCAAGTCAGGTCAGGTCATTGGACATGCTGCTGCACTATTTCATTAGCTAAACTCCCCTGGGCCTCCCATCTTCCTGGAAAAAAGGGAAGTGGTGCAAGCTGCCTTGGAAATTCTCTTAGCGTGGATCTCACATGTAAAACAACTGCTATAAATATGAGTGGGAAGAGAGGAAGGAGTTAGTCATGACAGACAAGAGGAAGGAGGACAAAAGCATTCACCCTGGAGTTAATGTTTCTTTCCTGCCATTTCTACTACAGCTGAGTGCTCTGTCTTCCCTTATCCTAATCTTTCCGAAGTCCTGGCTGGTTGGGCTTCTATGTGCTAACTCTATGCTAGCATGCTTTTAAGAATGCAGCCTCTCCAGACTCTCCTATGGATGTTTTCAAACACTGCATCAAACCCCAGGGCAGGGCTGCCACACCTCTGTTGAGAAAGCTCTGGGCAAGTAAGTGTTGGGATTTTGGGCTGGGAAGGATTCCTATCCCCTTCTAGGTCTGCAATGATCCCACCTGAAGAGCTGAAAGAGGCTGACTGGTCAAGAAGGGAGGAAAACCTGTGACATTCAGCAGCTTGCAACAGTCAAATCTGTGGGCTAGAAATGAAAAATGAATAAACAAAACACATGCAGTGACTTCGTTGCTTGTTAGACAGGTTGCTGACTTCCCCTTGAATGTCACCATGGCCTGTGAGCAGTGTTCAAGAAAACCTGTGTCTTTTACTTTTATGTCACCCCCAGTTCTGGAGTCTGCAGGAGATGAGGCCAAACTCTCAGTCTCTCCAGGTTTATGTCCATCACTCCCTGAGGTCTGATAATTGTGGAATTACTGGAGCCATTCATTGTTAAACTGCTATTAAATACTCCATGGCTTGTACTTGTTTCCACAAAAGTGCTGCAGTAGGATTTATCTGAGGAACCTTTCCTTCCCCTGCTTCATCAGAAAAGTCAATGATTGTTTGCTTTGCTTTGGTTGCTCTGTGTCTACTGAAGCAGCTTCAGACATCTCAAAGAGACACGAGGCTCCCAGAGGACATTTTCTCACCCACATGACCCCTCCACCCCCAAGAGTGTTAATATCTCAGTCCTGCTTCCTCCTGAACATCTGAAAGCCCCAAGTGATTTACCTGTCCAACTTACCAGGATGAGGAACATAGGGGAGGGGAGACAAAGCATGTGAATAGAGGAACATAGGGAAGGGAATCAAAGGACATTAAAAAAAAAAAAGGAAAGGGTTAAGTAGAAAGGAAAGAAAATGCATTGATCAAATTTTCAGAGCAATTTAATTACCCAAAGGTGCAGGGAGATTCCTTATGAGGTTTTATAAGTGGCCTAACCGCCTTAAATACCTAGTTGCCTTGGAAAATAACTCTGAGTTCCATTCTTGCATGTTACTCTGCTTCTCCAACAGAAGGCCTGATGCTCAGGCATTGCTCCAGGCTATTTTGAGGCTATTTGTCAATGTTACTGCATTCACTGGGGTCTACAGTTAGGGGAAGTGAACACCAAAGTCTCGTTTGGGGAACTGTCCATAGAAAGTCACAGAAAGCAGCAGAGGGATGTGGGCAAGTAGCAGATGAGATAATGAGAGCAAACTGCTTTGCCTTTTCTTCCTTTTTCATTTTCAGAATAACCTGATTCCGCAGGAGGAGATTCTCAGTGAAGCATCAACCCGACTCACTCCAAACTCTTGGAATGACAGAGGGAATTTGTCCTTACACAGCGGGTGGGAAGGGGGAAAGGTAGCACCCTCAAAGTCCTCCGTACCACCACGTTCCACTTCCTTTCAGGGTCAAATCAGGACACAGATGATGTATAGCCCATATCAGGATTCTCTGCACAGGAGGAAATTTTACTCAATGTTGAAGAGCACCCCATCAACACTCACAGGCTTCGAGGGGATGCTGACAGTCATACGCAACTCTGAAGAATACTACACATAAGCAGTGTGTTGTGATTCTGGCTATTATCCTCTCTGAATTGGACTTGTGGCTGCTTGCAACCTAATTCACAGAGAATATGGAGAAGCATGTGAGCACTGCACTTGCGGGACTCACACCTGGTCTAGAGATTGTTTTTCTCCACTCAGGACAGACAGAGATAGAAAGATGTGCCACTTGCTCAAGAATCACCCAGTCTTGTATTTTTACTATTGGATCTCAAAACAGAACAGAGACTTCAGTTCCAGTTGTGCTGGCCCTTCAGCCCCCTGATCTGGAGAGCAGGATGGAGTTATCCAAAAGTCTAGGTGCTCATGTGGCCAGCCAAGAGTAATACACATACTACATACTTGCAGTGGTCTGTGGAGAGCTATCCAGGTGCAAAGTGAGGCCTTCAGTTCCAAGGAAATTATAAAAATGAGAAGGTTGCTTGTAGAGAATAGAGGCTAAATGGGCAGTACTCACAGGAGAACTGGAAGGATGGACTGTAGAATCAGCAGTGGAGGGTTATCAAGAATGACTGTCTGCAGCACTGTTATAGATCATCCATGTGCATCCATGTGCACACCTGCAGTGTAACAGCAGAGGTTCAGATGGCCAGTAAATAGTATTTACTGTTTTGGCCATAGAAGACTTTAGGCACCTCCACCCATGACAATATATAAGCAGAACAGTTTTTTGGGCACCTTTGCCTGTGCCATGGAAGAATTTCATGTGAAATTCCTTCTCTTTTTCGAATTGGACTATAGGACCTCTCGTTAGGTCATCGTTAGTACAGAGGTTACCCACCCAGCCAGGTACCAGAGCAAGGACCTACCAGATACTCAGTTTCCTCCACCCCCATCTGTTTATGACTTGTAGCCCCTTCACAGTTTTCTGTCTGTTTATTCTAGACGATATTCAGTAGGGACCTCACACAAGTAGAAATTACTCTTTCCTGCTATGCAGGGAAAAATAGGAAGAAGAACTTATGTTGGCTGTTGGTCCCTTATCCCACATGACAATCTACAGCACGCAGGACAGTTTTCAGACACTTTAGCCTGGGACTGTCAGCCCCACATCCCAGCATGTGGTACAGCAGTACAGACTTGCTCGCCCACCCCAATGCCCAGCTCAGTGACTTGTCATACTGGCTTTGTGGCCCTACCCAGGCAGTCATGCAAGAGTCCTGAAGGAAGTTGAGAGAGGAAGTCCACTGAAGGGCCTCCCCACAGACACAGAGCTCTACTGCACCCCGACAGAGCAGGCAAGTACCAGACAGGAACAGAGAGGCATTGCTTGTCTAGGTAGGTTTCCAGGAAAAGCACAAGGAGTATATGCACCCATGTCGTTCAGACACATCATGCCACAGCCGAGCAACTTGAAACCCATCCAGGGCTCCAGAGTCCACTGGAAACCTTCATCTGTGGGGAGTCTTGGCTGCCAAAGTGAGGCAACATCAAACAAGCCTACTTCCCAATGAGACTGCAAAGTGACAGATTGAGATTGAACAACGACAGTGGTCAAAATTAGCATATCTCTTCAGGCTTTGCCTGTTGCCTCTGTCTAGAGCTGAGCAAGCCCGCACTACCCCTGAGCAGGCTCCCTTTGCACCACTAAGATACATGATTTTAATGCATAATTAACTCAGTAACACATAATTCAACTGAATGACCGTCAGTCATTTATTCTGACAGCTCCAGTTTTTGTGGAAAACAGACCTTAAAATAAACTCCTTACTGGTAGTAGAACAAGAGATACCCCCTTCAACCCCACTTTAGTTCGTCCTGCAGCAGCTTTCTTTACTGTTGCTTTCAGGCAGTAAATAATAGTTGTGTTGTGAAGTCACCTACCTTCACCAATATGCACAGCCAGATTCTGGCAGGAGCTCAGCTCCCACAGGTCCCACTAATTTCCATGACAGGCCAGCCTGGTATGGGATTTGATGTGGCCTGTTCCTTCGCTATGCAGCTAGGAGCTGAAAAATGGAGAACTGTTGCTGAAACAGGGCACTGCTTCACCCTGTACCCCACATCCTATACACGGAGGCTTGCTAGGATTGAAACTCAGTGTCCTTGCAAAATGAACCCTTCTCTTTCTTGCTCCTGATAAGCCTGTATCCTTTCTGCTTTTGCTTTCCATTGCCTTTCCTCGTACATACACATACGTAGAGCTTCCTCAGCCAGAAGGAGGCTAGAAACAGTCTGTCCAGTAGTATCCCTTGGTCTGCTGAATCCCAATCACTTTATCTACCACCTGCTAAAGTAGGAAATAAAAACTGAGATCTCTCTCAGTTCCTCAGATGTGGCTCATCTCCTCTACCCACACCTGCTTTTTGAGATTATTTTAGGACCAGGCAGACCCACCTGCAGGTCACTTGGAAGTGCTAGAACTCTAAAATAGTTATTTATCTTAAGATGGGGATAATCAAGAGAGGATGCTAAAACCAAAAGCCTTGTAAGCCTGCATCACTGGGAAACTCAGCTGTGTAAGATGTTCTGCAAAGGCAAAACAGCTCTTGGGACTATAGAGAAACATCTCTGAGGAACTTGGAAATCATGCCAGAGTTGCATGAAAAAAAAAGCCAAAGCTTGTGTGTGACACGTATACCCGATAGCCCTCAATTCTACAGACCAGCTCAAAATCACCAGCACAGGGAATCATAGCAACAGAGAATTTTAGCGCAAAGGCCCATTCAGATCTGTAAGAAATTTTCTCCTGATGTGAAGGGAACTTGCTCAGGGGAGAAAAGTGAAAAGAAAACGATGCTTACTACGTGTGTCTGACAAGCAATTAGTTGTACCACCAGCAATCCTCTACCATTAGGCTCCACCTGCCATCAGCCCCAGTGTCCACTCTGTCTGCTGGGATTTAGTGGTGAACTATGCCCCGTCCAACTGGGTGAACAACCTTAACAGCAAACAAGACAGAAGATCATCATGTCTTACCAGCAGGACAAAAGTCCATCCTGAAGAGCCCAGTGTGTTTTCCACGCAGTTGCTGTTCCTCCTTGCCTTCTGCTTGCTCAGTTCCACAGAACTGAGGCGTCTTGTAGCCAGTGACCAAAATCGCAGCTGTGTTGGAGGGGCGGGTTGCCTTGTGGCTCCGCCCTTCCTCCCCTGTCCCTCGACCACATCGCATGATCTCACATAGTGAAGGAAACTGTATGTGCATTCTGCTAGGAGCTAACAGAGGCTCTTTGACTACTTCTGGAAAGCAAACCCACAAATGCATTTCCATTGCCAGCAGTGCTTCTTTTTTTTTTTTTTTTTTTGAGGAGAGGGGGACCGTGTGTGCTTTAGAAGACAGAAATGGACAGTGAGAAACTACCAGTGCTTTGGGATTTTGTCTGAGATACTTTGATAAGAGGGGGGAAAAAAGGAAGTCCCTGATTCAGAAAGAAAAAAATAGGAAGTCTTATTTGGGAAGTAGTTTCATTTTAATAGAAATATTCTTCCTGTTTTAATTCTGCAGCAGTTTGTAGGAAGATAAGTGCTCAAAAATTTGAGGGTGGTTGATTGAGGCAAGTGGATAAGAGGGTCTTTTTTTTTTTTCTTCTTTTGTTCCTTCACTACCCACTGAGTGACTTGTACTCCAAGTCTGCTCCCATCTTCCCATAACAAACCTTTTTCTTGGGAACCATTGTACATGAGGCTGCAGCAAATGGAGGAGGAAAGAAGTCCTCTCTCAGATTCAGGTGGGGCTGAGGCTATTGAGGGACAGCTCCTTTCCATACAGCATAGAAACTTACCTATATGTCCCAAGTCACAACTTGACCTGCCCCAGCTGTTGCTACACTCACATTCTCGCATTCTTATTAAGCAAAAAAAAAAATGCACTTTAAAAGGTGTGAGGTGAAAAGTAGGATTTGCCTGATCACCCTGGGCAAGATCTACTGCTCTAGGTTCACTTAACTTGATAGAAAAAGCCAAACACAGAATTTTACCTCCCTTCTCAGTTTCCTTACTTTTGCATTTCCTGTTACCCAAGGTTATGCTCAAGGTTCATTGTTGTTATTGAGAGGGACAAGCACTCTAATGAACTCCCAATGGAAACAGGGAGATATACCAGCCTTAAAGGCATTGTGCCAAAGACTGATAGAAATCCAGAATGGATGCTAACAGGCTACTGTAGGCAGGATCATAAATAACCTGTGATATTTACAAAGAGGCAGTGACAGACATTCCCTACTTGCTTTTCATGGTCAGGGCCAATAAATTTAGAGAAGCTGGAACCTTACTTGGCAGGATGGGGCGTAGGGGCCCAGAGGGGGGAAAGGAAGAAGAAGAGAGCTTTATTAATGGAAATTGTAATTTCAAACCTCCATACTCATTCATCTGATTATGCTATATCTGCCCTGACCTTCAGCATAGAGCCATGGAACATTATGGTTGGAAAAGACCTTCAAGATCATCAAGTCCATTTGTAAACCCATCACCACCATGCCTGCTAAACCATGTCCATCTGTCCATGAAGTTTATCAGAAGCCTGTGTTTGGGTCACAACTTGCCAAGAGTATTCCCCTCGCAACTCAGTCTCTGTCTTGCGGTTTTGAACCGCATCGGGAGAGGAATTCACTGTCCCACAAGTCCAACCCAGTGCTCCAGTTATGGTACTGGAGCTGGGCATAGCTCCACCTCAGATCCTGCCATCATTGCATTTTCCACAAAAATGTTTTATCGGTGTTGCAGCTGATGTCAAACAGACACATAAACCTAAGGTGCTTCCTTGAAAACCCTGAATGTGCCTGCCTTAAGGGTACATTGCACATACAGGCAGCTTAGTTGGGCTTTTATATATGTGTTTGTGGGCAGGTTGAATCATAGTGCCTTGCAAGCAACAAAATGGATGCCTCTGTATACCACAGAAGTTCTCTCAGTCATTCCAACAAAAAATAAAGCAAGGCTCCTACCCATTATACTATTCCATACTTGCTCGATCTCCTAAACTGGAAGGAAATATAAATATTTCTACTAACTTCAAGAGGATAAATACCGGAAGAGAAAGAAGATGATGAGCCAATGACAAAATCCCTCTGGGCTGAACATGTCGACTGTATTCTAACAACTTTTCTCAGAGAAACAAAGCACAGGTTTGTACAAATTCTGTAACTCCTTTGGGAGTTCAGGCTGCCATGCAACTTAAAACAGCACGAGAACAAACACAGTAACACTTTTTTGTGTAACAATTATAATAAAATAATCCTTGTCCACTGTGAGAAACAACATGAACTCTGGTTGCTACAGCAAGAGTTCAGGATAAGAAAATGCAGGCAGTGAGTAAAGATACTAGTGCAGAGCATAGAGCAGGAATTTTCTATTGCCAGGTGCTTTTACTACCTCAAGGAATTGGAGTTGTTAGGTTGTTTTTTTTTTTTTTTAAGAGCAGGAAGAAGGGATTATAAAAAGCCACAGGAGAAAAAAAATAAAAAGAAATGTAAGAATGGAAACTGATACTGGAGTCACCAGGGACTTGCAGAAATATAGAGAAAATATAAAGCCAAACAACAAAAAAAGAAAAAGTATTTTAGGATTCTAGGAGCAACTTCACAAGTGAGGAAAATGCAAGCATGAATCATGGATACCTGGATGGTCAAAGGGCTGTGCCATGGTCTTCTGCTTACCCAGGCACTTCATGGAGAAGAGCTGGAGGGGGTGATTCCTCGTCAGTGCTACAGACAGGAAGATGCCAGTGGACCAGTTCTTTTGCCCTCAGAGGGCAAGATCGAGAGCAGCTGTGCAGTGAAGATAGGAGAGCCTCCATGATGCAATGGATCAGGGGTGGACCAGCCCTGACTGCAATAGGGTTGTTCTCCAGAGAAGCTCATGGACGAAGTAGATCCAGGGTTAATTAAATATCATTTGCAAGCTGAGTTGCATTTCTCCAGGAAAATGATACTGTGTATATGGAAAATGCAGGTAGTTTGTTGTTACTATATTTCAAGGGGGCTGAGGAGATACAGGAAGCTTGAAAACTTCAATTTTCTGGGCTTTGACTGAGAGTGAAAATTTAGGTCAGAGGAGTACCTAGTACAGCCAATATTAGAAATAAGACTCTGAATGAAGCAACTCCACAGCTTGTCTAACAGAGACTGTAGGACATCATGCCCTGGACTGCATCACATCCATTTTAGTTATGATTTCAGTCCCGAATTCAAGGCCAGGCTTTTCTAGTCAGCGTGGCTCTCAGCGAAAAAACACTGCAGCGAGAGGAAAGGGTGGCAGCAAAAGGAAGGTGTGGGAATTTTGGAGAAGAGAAGAAGCAAAGCAAGAACTAAAAGCAGGAGGCAGATGGTAGAAAGCTGAACGAATAGGGAAGTGAGAAGTCACAAAAGCAGAAGGGGGCAGTTTACAGCCAGCGTGGCTGAACTGCAATACTCCACCCTGGTGGAGGGCTAACACATATAGCAAAGGTCTCAGGGTCACACAGAATTGTTTGAATAATAGGTTAAAGTAGCTTCTGTCAGGCCCAGGGACTGATGTAGTAATGGAACTACCTCTGTGGCCATGCCCTGTGCAAAGAAATTAACCTCATGTTCTCCCCACCTCAAAAATAATAATAATAAAAAGAATTCCCCTGACCCTTCTTCTGTGCTGAAGCAGCACATGCCTATTGCTCTGCTCCTGCTCTCTTATTTTGGGCTGCGAACTCACAGACCCACCCCCAGCTTTTTCCTCTCTTCCATGAGTGAGCAGAACACCCGAGAAAAATGGGGATCATTGCGATGACTCAGATTCTTCTGTGCTTTGGAGCTGCATGCTGCATCTGGCATGCACCTCCTCCCTTGCCTTCCTTTCCACACGGGTGCTCTGCAGATCAGTGACTCATGGGTCACAGTGCCTCAGAGATGACATTGCCAGTGGCCTGGGAAATTTCTCAGAGCAGAACTGTTTCACTAAGCAACTCTTTCAAATATTAGCATCTTCTTTAAATTCAGGAAAGGGAACAAGAAATCCCAGATCTCAACTCTACTGCATATGCAGGAGGGAACCCATGTCAAGAGCACCTCTTAGTGATAAGAGAGCAGATCAAAGCAGCAACAGATCTGTATACACTTTTTACAGATTACCAGCCTGCAGTTTCCTTCCTTTAGCAGCCTGTGCTATTTGAATATAATTTTCCATTGTTTAGTAATTTAAATACAATGGAAGGGAAACTCTTGCACAAGGGGCTTCTGTGTCTCTTCAGGGACACTGGCAGATGAGAGAAGTTTATAAATTCACAGCACAGACCTCTGACTTGTAAGAGAACTGACTGTCAGTAGCAGTAGGAGGATTTTATCTTCCAAAGGTAATTTATCCAGGAATTTCACAGCTCATTGTTGTCATACAGGACTGCTGATTCTTAGAAATGGGCCTTACCTGGGCACACCTCAACAGCAGTCACTCCTCCATGATCATTTGATTATCATCCTCATTTAGCTTCCCCACTTGTTCCTACACTGCTGATCCCAGAGACCCACATGCCAGACCGCAAGGGCAGAAACATACACTTGCAGTCAGTAGGTCAGTGGTCCTTGTTCTTTCCTGAAACCAGGTCTTATCATGCCACTGGCAGTTTTCTGTCCAGTCTCTTCTTAGCTTAAATCTCATTGCTTGTCTCCTTTTTTCATGACTTGTGCTCTGTCCCAGATCCACTCACTGCATTATCCAGCCCTCTCTAGCACTTTTCTGTCTTCCCACTCCAGGTGTCTGCTCTCTTTTCTGCTATCTCTGTTTCTCCCTGTAACTTTTCTACCTAGGGCCTATTGGAAATTTTCAGAGAAAAGATCTAATGGAAATGGAAACATTCTTCCATAAAAAAATGATTCCTAATACAGTTTCAAAACGTGCAGAAAAGGATTAGTTTCCTGCTTGCCTGTCCCTGTCTGCTTGATCATGTCCCAGGGAGTCAGCGCTCTCCCAGTCCCTAGGACTCCACCAGCCTCAGCTCCAAGGGCCTTCAGAATCCTGCAACTGAGAGCACTGAATGTCTACAGTTTCCTAGGGAATACATTTCCATCATATATCCCAAAGTTTTCTAGCTGAGATGTGGAGATGTT